CTCCATCCGACCCCGACGCATGCGCGGTCGACGCCGACATGAGCGGCGCCATCGCTTCGCCGCTGACGACGAAGCAGTTCTGTGACCGCGTCATTGCCGATGACGCGGTGCTCAAGCTGCGACTGGCAGCGATGCACACGCCCTTCTTCCTGGCAGTCGGCTTCCGCAAACCGCACCTGCCCTTCCGCTTCCCCGCGCCCTTTCTGGCGCTCGTCGAGGGTGACGTGGCGGCGCACCCCACGCTGAGCCCGACAGTGCCGCCGATTGCGCACCACGACGCTGTGCCTCAGCCGCACATCTACACACCTGTGGCCAACGCTAGATGCCAAACACGCTGTGCCCCTGTATGCCAGCACCAGAAAGCAGGCTGTTCATTGCAAGCTGAGCACTGTATGATATGCTCACACTCCAGGTGGCAAATGCGACGGCACACGAGTGGCGACGGCACTATCGCGCTGCTATAGCATGGGTCGACTCGCAGATCGGACGCGTGCTCCACGAGCTCGAGGCACGCGGCCTGGCCCCCACGACGCTCGTCGCGCTAGATGCTGAACGTCGAGGCGTTGTGACGAGCACCCGACACTGCACACGCCGTTTGCTGTCTTCCGCTCGCACTGTCTCGCTCAGCGGTACATGCACATGCGCTGTAGTCACGCGCTCGCGGCCTGTACTCGCGCTCCAGGCTCGTCGCGCTGCACTCGGACCACGGCTGGTCGCTGGGCGAGCACGGCGAGTGGCAAAAGTTCAGCAATTTTGAGCATGGCACGCGCGTGCCGCTCATCATGCGCGCGCCGTGGGTGCGGGAGAGCGTGGGGACGAGGAGCTCCGTGCTCGCCGAGCTGATCGACATCTTTCCCACCATGGCCGAGCTCGCGGGCGCTCCGCTCGACCCACAAACGGCGGCCAGTCTCGACGGCACCTCGCTCGCGCCCGTGCTGCGCGCGCCAGCTGATGCGGCGCTCGCGAGGGCGCTCAAACACCGTGCGCTCTCGCAATACATGCGCTGCCCGCGCGACGCGGCGCAGCCCCAGAAGGCGAACGACTGCCTCTTCACCGACCGCTCGCAGATCGCATTCATGGGGTACACGGTTCGAACGCACACCCACCGCTTCACCCAGTGGGCGGCGTGGAACGGCTCCAGCTTGCGGTCCGTCTGGCAGCAGCCGCGCTGGCCCGACATTGGCGAGGAGCTGTACTCGCACGTCGGCGACGACGGCTCTGATTTTGACCGCTACGAGAACAAGAACTGTAATGCCAGCGAGCCCAACGTGGCCGCGGCGCTGCGCGTGCTCCTGCACGAGGCAGTCGCGAACGGGAGCGCAAAGGCACGGGTGGACCTTGTCCTTGTACCTTGACACCCTGCACATATTTTCATGTCATCAATCAACGCCCTGTGTAATACGGGGTGTGGACCCTGAGTTGACCAGGGGTTGTGCGCTGGGCCCTCCTGCTCGGCTTTAGCCAGTAGACAAGTCTTGTCATCAACAGAGTAGAAGGATCTGACCTCGGGGATGATGTGACCAAGCGCTGGTAGCGTGGTTTAACCTCACACCCATGGTCTCACAGTGTGCCGGCAGTCGCCGAGCAGTGTCGCTCACACAAGCCGCAGCACAAGTGACTGAGGGCCAGTGAGGGCGAGCCCATCGCTGTGACAGCTGTGGTAGCCGCACAGTAGGCTGTGCCAACTGTGCAGAGCGTGTGAGCAGCAGAGGAGCTGCTCTCCAGGCTTCTGTCGCAAAGAGCTGCATGCCACCGAAAGCGCTGTCGAGGTTCGCCGAGCGCGGCGCAGGTTGGAGGACGCCGTCACCGACGAGCGCGTTGGACTTTTCACTCCGGACAAAGACGGGTACACGCACACGAGCCGCGGTCGTATACCCGTCTTAGCGGCGAGGCGCGGGACCGTCTGTGGCGAAGTGGGTCGCGTCCTCCGATTTCCTCAACTCACGGTCCGCTCCCTCTAGTGGAGTAGTCGAGGTGAAGCTCAAAAGGAGAGATTACGCGTCTGCTTTACCCATCTCCTAGTGAAGGTGTGTCCGGTTTATTTTTTACTCCGAAATAAACTCCGAGGGCGTGTCGGAGCCCATATGCAGCATGTGCATGTGCATCATATTGCATGATTGTCCAGATTGTGCATGTGCACGCATGTCCGTCGACGCTCGCGCCCTTGGCCGCTCTCGGCTCCCCCGCCCGAGAAGTCACACCACCTCAGCTTGCACTGCTCACGCGCCACACGCTACAGTTGTGTGTCCGTGAGCTGGCGCCGGCCACCCGCGCATACGATGAGCGAGGCCGAGGGAGTCAAGGTTGGCGCTGCCATTGCCAGCAATGCCAGCAAAATGCCACTCACGCAACAGTCTGGGCAGTAGCGCTAATGTCCGCCGTTTGTGAATGCGGTAACCTCGTGCGCGCTGGGCATCGTGAACACGATCTGCTTCTGTAAAACAGAAGAAGATCAAGCCACGAGTATGCTATCCATCCAGACCGATCAAAAATGCGGGGATAGCGGATGCCACATGCTCGCGCTTGCTGACAAAATCCGTACGTTTGAGTCCACGCGAAGGATTCAGACATCAAGCTCTGCCACGGAGGCTAATTGCTTATTCACGGCGACGTTTTTGCAATCTGAAACTCGCACATCGGCGGTAGCGGCGCCGTCATCGTCCGCCTTTGCCCAAATCGCGTCGTCGAACTCGTTGAGCAGAACGGCGTTGAGTAGGGTGACCAAGCGTGCTCGTAAGCTTGCCGGCGTCTTGCACACCTCGGCCTCTGCCCTTGCGGTGGTCGCCGGCGCCTTCATACAAATTGTCGCGACACCGCCGCGATCGATGAGACTTTTTGGGCGTCTGGCGGCGAATTGGCGCGATAAAAGGGAGCGCGTCGACCAATCTTTACGCCTCGAGAGAGAGAGAGACGTGCAAGGCTCAACGCTCGGACGTTGACCGCACCGCGTACCCTCCCCACTCCCGCCTCTCATTTGTGTCACACCACGCGGAACGCATCTCCATCGCTTCGGTGAAGGGGGTGAACCGCGAGATTTTTAGCAATACCAAACAACTCTAACACTCACACGTAATTTGGGGCCTGGAGCCCTGTTCACGCGCGCGCGAGACGTGCAGACAGGGTTGCCAGGTGAGAGCGAATGGCGCGGTTCACGCCTCGCACAACAGAGAGAGAGATGCGCTCTGCATGGTGGGACATAAAAGAGAGCGAGTACTTGGGCGAGTAGGCCGTGCGGTCAACGCTGCCGCGCGCGACTTTGCGCGCGAGGCGGCGCAGCTTGAGAACGGCGGTGGGCGAGAAGCCGCCGCCGAACGTCTCGTGGAGCAGCAGGTTGAAGTTGTTGCGCTTGACAAAGATCGCGTCGTGGTAGAAACCGCGATGCGCCTTGACGTAGCCGTGGCCGGTCTTGTGGTCGAAGGGTTGGCCGGGCTGCCCGCGCGCCTTGCAGCCCATGTTTAGGCGGCGGGCCTTTTCTTCGGTGTTGCCGAAGGCGTAGGAGTGGCCAACGGAGGCGGGCGTGCCGCCACTCGAGGCGTTGCCAACGCCCGGCGAGGAGGTCTTGAGGAGGGGCGTCCAGAGTTTGTTTGAACCGCGCCATCCTCGATCGCCGTGCAAAGCTCTCGCTTCCGAGCTCTCTCAGTCTCACGCCGCGCGTAGGGCCCTTTGGGGCCTAGAGAACACAACCCCCTCTCCCTTTTCTCCCAGTAAGCTAAAAGTATCCTACGCCTAGAGAATACACACCCCCTCCACTCGAACCAGGGCATGTGGGGGGCGCGGAGGGGGGCGGGGGGCGCCAGCGGGTGTGTGGGAGAACAGCGCGCCGGCCGCCGGCGGCCGCCGGCGCGGGGCCAGCACAGTGCCAACACACCAGCGGGAGCGGCCGAGCGGAGGTGGGAACGCCCCCTCGATACCGCTGCTTTCATATCTTTACACTCCCTTTTTCGTAACACGAACATTTTTTTCATATCTCAGTCTTTACACTCCTAGATGCATCCCTAGAGACTACACAAGCCACGCGCCCGCAAGAGCGTGTGGCGCGGTCCCCTGTCCTCTGGTCTGTCTGAAATCTCAGTCCACATGCGTGCGATGCACGCCCGGCGTCTGTAGCGGCAGCGGAGGCCGCGCCCGCACTCTGCGCCCTCGCCGCTTCCCGTGGCGCGGCCATGGCCGGGAACGGGCGGCGAGGGGCAACTGTGCGTCGTCGGCGTCGCGGCGCTGCGGGTTGGCCTTAGCGTCGGCGATGAGCAGCTCGAGCATCTCGCGCAGGGCCTGAGTTGGCAGGTATGCCGAGAGGTCCACCGAGGTCTGACGAGGTCCGGCGAAGGAGAGGGAGAGGGAGGGGGAGGGGGAGGGGCACCTGTTTGTTGCGGTGCGGCTCCACGTGCCGCGAGCAGGTGAGCTTGAGCTGGCCGCTGGACACAGGGTACCTGGGGTGAGGGGAGAGGGGAGGGGTGCGGGGGAGAGGGCGGCGGTGAGGCTGGCAGTGAGGGCCCGCTGCCGAGAGCACCGGTCGAGCCCGACCACGGCACGCAGCCGACGCCGCTCGTCGCGATTGAGTCCGAGTCGGTGGGGCATCACGCGCAGCACAACCTGCGCGGCGGTGGGACCCGGTGGTGGGTGACAGGGAGGGGGGGGGGGGGGGGAGGAAAATCCGACCAAAATATTGGGAGAGCCCCCAGGGAAGCTCGCCTTTTTCGTCTCGGGGGGGGTCCCCTCCGAAGAGTCCTGAAAATAACGCGTGGGGAAACAAAAGCACATTTTGGCTCTTATTCGGCCGAAACCAGCGAAGGGGTGGCCCCCCAGTCCTCCAGCGGGCAACAAGTCTGTCGGGCGGGGGTCCGGAGGCCTCCCGCCAACTTGGGGACAAAGGCCCCGGAAAAAGCCCCTCCTAGGAAAAACCTCCCTGGAAGGGTCCCTCCCCCCAAACT